TCTGCAGTCCCATGTGATTTGATGTTTATGTTTTATACTTCTTGTATTTATATATTTTACTAATTAAAAATTAAAATAATAAAAACATTAGTCAAGGAAAGAGATCAACATTCAAGATCAGGCTGGCTTCAGTCTCGTTCTAGAAGGCCAATGTTCACATTCACACTACAGCAAGATGCCATCACTCTTGTCTATCTCTAACTCACCACTTCGCTAGTGTATAAACAGCAACCCTAACAGCAACCCTGTGAAGAGTTAAACACTACGCTGTTTAAACCCCGTCATTCTTTGTACCCCACTTTCCTTTTTTTGTCTCCACCTTCCTATTTCTACCCTACTTATTTCTGGGGACTTTTACCTCTATTAGCTTTCAAACTCTGGCATACATGGGCTTTACATTTAGCTTGTTTTTCAAATTCTCCTAGTCAAGGAGTCATACCTGAAGGTTGGATAATCATGCAAACATACACACAAGCAAGGTGGTGGGGGATAAGTGATCAAATACACTCTCCGCTTGATTCTCATTGGTTGAATGTCCTATGGTATTCGTGTCTGACACGCTTGCTTATGGTATTTATGTCTGACACACTTGTTTATGGTATTCGTCTCTGGCACACTTGCTTCTTCCCCAGTTTTCTTACCTCCAAGATGGCAGCTTTACCTTCCTCTTCGATAATAGCAAAGGTCTGTTCTAGTATACTAATAAAAGTAATTTCTGTACTTCTGTACCTTCCCATGCCCTTCCCCTTACCTCTTTCATTGCATAAACTGTATTACCACCATTAAATAGACATTAATAATCCATTATTCAGGCACATTTGCTTTTCTGTAACCTAAACTGTTCTCCAAGCAGTATTGATTGATGAGATTTGCCTGTCAATTTAATCATGATCTTTCTTTCTCCTGTATGAGTATGAATCTATACCAAACGAATTATACCAAATCTCTGCTCACTCTATGTTTCCATGGATATTCCTGAGACAGTCTATATGTGAGAGATGAAGGAAACTGAAGATGGATAGTAGAGAATCAGGGACAGCAATTTGTCCCTAGAGAATTCAATGATTAAATCTATGTTAGATTCCATCTTTCCCCAGACTGAATTTTCCATGACTGTACATGAGAATAAAGATAGAACTAAGAAATTCTGAGAGTTTGTATGATGGCCTCAAAAAAAATCTACCATTTTCATAATTGAATGTTTCTGTGTAAAGACTACATAGCTCCCTGATTAACAAGAAATACAGTGGAACTGCTTCTAATTCCTGTTCATCTGCAACATCTGAATAAAAATGCTAAGATGTGCCCAGTCTGTTGGTGAGCAGTTTCTCGCTTCAGCTCCACATATCCTTCTCTGCTATCTTAGCCATGCTGTTCTCCCTCTGATCTCCCAGGATGCTTCTGATAGCCTCCTCAAAAGCTTTCTGCTTAAAGCCACTTCTGACTTCAGAAACTTACAAGTGCCACTGTGTGGCATTGAGGTCACTCATCAGCTTTCCCTGACTCCATTACCTCCTATCCTCCATATCACATACTCAAATATTTGCAAACACACCGCATAATGACTCCCTGAGAGCTTCTTCATTAAAGTATTTTCCTTGACTATGATAATTGGTAACTTTGCATTCACTGAAATGGTGTTCCAAGATTCCATATGGTGCTTTGGGAATAGATCCTCACTGCTCTGATTATCATGGGGCTACAGATTCCTCTTATGAGATGTAGCTTTCATATTGAATTGCATGACACCACATATTCAATGCTATGCATATTCAGGTTAGTTACACAATGATTTTGCTTTGACAATACAACTGTAATTTGTATTGGAACATTTTCATGCTGATTAAAACAAGGGGAAAAGTTTTACAAAAACTATTTGGATGCATTGGACATTAGCAAAGAGCAAAGTAAAGGCATTTTCTCATGAGAAACCACCTAGTGTAGAGAGGAATGGTGAGTGCTGATGTAGAAGACATACTGAGAAGTCAGCAGCAAAGACTTAAAGTGTTAGCTCAGTTGGAAAATGAGGAAGGTATCCAACGCCTGAGGTTGGGCCATGCAATTTATATACACTGTGCATAAGCAACTTACAAATCCCTTGATATAACAAATTATACGTGTGAACAGATCCTGGGCCATGACTGAAAATTTAAAAAACATTGACAGCTATAATGTGAATTAATAACTCGTAGCATTTAATCAAGCGGAAAGGATGGGAAGCAGAGTCTTCTTGAGGGATCAGAGGGTATTTCACGGATTTATTAAGACAACAAACCAAGGGAAGTGTTTGACAGAGGGATATTGTGTGCAGTCTTTTTCTTCCAGAACAAAACTAAGCCTCTCAGATAAAATGACTTATTTGCCGCACTAGCTTGATCACTGGATCTCAATACCTAGAACCCTCATACTGGCGAAGAAGAGAAAAAAAAATGACAAACTATGCTGGTGATCCATGAGATGATATCTAGAAGGTAAACAAATATGTATCCATGCTGGAGCCTCTGCAGGAAAGACCCATGTGACTGAATGGAACAGAAATGATATTCAAAGAAAGATTTTGTAAACCATCACATGTGTGATACTTAAACCTCATTCCTATCTAGATATCCTAAGAAATATAGCTATGTTTTTGCCATAGTCCTCTACACTTAGAGTTACATTTCACATAGCCTGTTGAAAACTAAGAAACAGACTATTTTGAAAGAAAAGGCAACTTTACACAAGTTAGAATCAATGTGAATGAAACCATATTTACATTAAAGAAAGAATCAGACACAGAGACCTCCCAGTAGCCAAGATTTAGGAAATAAGACTGTAGAATGTTCACTCCTAAGTGGAATACACACACCACACATCTTCCTCCCAACATCCAGAAATCATTGCAGGAGCCTGGGGCTATGAATGACCACCGAGAGAAAAGAGTCTCCTGGACATGGCAGGGTAGTTGTGAATGTGGACTCGTGGTGACTATGAGGGCATTGTGGCTGTGAAAACATATACAAGACCTGTGCAAGCCCAAGACACACCAAGTCCCAGCTTGGAGAGGGGAAGTGGGCATGCAATCCCATCCCTTGCCTTGGAGCTATCTGCTGGGAGAATCTGATTTATCTAAGTGACACACATCCAAGAGTTTTGGAGCAACACAAACTGGTTTTGGTGGATTTTTTGGTTTTGTTTTGTTCTGCATTTTTTTTTGGTGGTGGTTGTTTTAATGACACAAAGTTAGGTAGATGAGGATAATGAAGAGCTGGAGGAGTGCATTGTGTGAAATTCTCAAGGAACTAATAAATTTAGTACAAATTAAAGGAACAGAAATAAAATAGAGCTAACAAAGCATCTTAAAATGCTAAAAGATTTAAGAAAACAGCCCTAATCCAGAATCCTTTATTCAGAGAAAGTAAAGGAGCAACAAAAATGTCATTAAATATGTGAAAACAGAGAGACTATGTCACTAGCAGATATATATTGAAAATGTGTGCCTTCTGGCTGTGCATATGTCTCCTTGTAAACAGATTATAGAATTTCTGCTGTGCAATTATGTAATCTGTCTTTGAAGTAATCTGGTTCGCTTTCTTCTATATCTTTGCTTAATGTTCTTCAATGCCTTCCCTTGTGTCCTTTCTCTAAATATTTCAAGCAGTTTATTGAGGTATGTTTGTGTGTTATATTTAGTTTACAACTGTGGGTGACAAGCTTATATTTAAAACATGCTAATTAATAATTCTCCCTGCAAGGATAGTTAACAACTAATGTACCTCAGTCTGGGGATGTCTCTAGAGGCAGCTACTAGGCACTTTGATGTTGCTAATTGTATCTGCACCTGAGTATTAACTAGTGCAAGGACTATCTAAAAGAAGCCTTAGTGTAACCGGTCATTGGTTGTGCAAGCATTTAATCCCAGAACTAAGGATGCAGGGGCAGGTGAATCGTTGTGAGTTTGAGGCCAGCCTGGTCTACAGAGCTAGTTCCAGGACAGGCTCCAAAGCAATACAGAGAAACCTTGTCTCAAAAAAACAAAACAAAACATAAGAAGCCTTAGTGTGAGTGGTATTCTTTATTATATAGTTGTAAGATACATTGTGTAGTCATTGCTGCATTTTCCTAACCTAAATGGAGGGTAAGCATCAGATTATATATATATATATATATATATATATATATATATATATATATTGATTGTATCAATGTATACATTGATACAATCAAGGATTATGTATTTTCAGTTATGGCTTCTCATCTAAATGAAAGGCAGCAATTCCCAAAATCAGAACATTGTTTTGCACACTACTGAATGAAATTATGATGTCACATGCTACAAATATACCCAAGATAAAGGAGGGTCAAAGTTGCAGCAACTCAGCTTGCAGGAACCAGTTATAGTGATTAACCTTTGAACGTCCTTGGTGGCAAACATTATCTTGTTAAAAGTGGGAGGATTTGCAGTCATTGCTATATAGCACCGTATTGCTTAATGTATGTTAAGTGAAGAGATGCATGACTTTCTCACATTGACATTTATATTTCATTACTGTGAAATTTTTTCCTCTGTTGTGTTTCTCCTATCACCTGGCTGGAAAGGATGTAATTATAAAATCAAAAAGCCTTACATTCTTTTTGTAAAGTACAGCATGCAATATTTTTATTTACATAAATTGTATTTATCTTTGTTCATGTGTATGTATTTCTTAATCTGTTTATACACATACATATAAATATATGCTCTAGTTTGGTGAATTTGTAAGATATATACTTTAATGTTGCATACTTTAATGTTGCAAAATCTGTTTCAAGCAGACAAATTAAGATAATAAAATTCCTTGCTGAATTAACTTAATATACATTAAGTTAATTATTTCACAGACTGAGAGCTGACAGGGTTTTAAAGACACTGGGAGACCCTTCCTCTGTCTCAAGCACATTAAATAAGTACAATTCAAATGGTTCCGTCTGTTTTGAGGGAGATAACACAATCAATCTTTCCTTCATAACATACTTCTTACCTCTGAATGGTACCCAACTCTGATGAAGGCACAGAGTGGATCAAAGGCACCCGTAGCACAGGTCAGAAGGTGTGTCCTGTTGTAGTGATGCAAAACCCGAACATAATTGGCACACTCGCTCTAAAGTGGAATCACAAAGGAAACGTGATTAGAATGAAACAAATGTTTACACTACCTTTGATCTTTGTAGTCCCTCAATCCTCAGTAGGGAGTCTGGATTGGGTGGGAAAGGGAAAGAGACTGGAATAAAGATGAGGACCTAGAAGAAAGGAGCTAGAGTGAAGGACACACCTTTTAATGAGCAGTGGAATGGGAAATACTTTATTATAATTGTTGTAATTCTGTAAATCATTTTGACAGTATTCTATCACAGTCGAGGATATAAACCAATGCTCACAAATGTATTCAATCATAATGATTTTCATTCAATACCCTCTTCACATAATTCAAGTATTCCCCTTGTTGCCAATTTTCAAGAACAGTATAAACACTGAACCAGCATAAAATTAGAAAGCCAGAAATTAGACAACAGTCATCATTCTTAAGAAATTATTTGATGTAGACACTAGGGGGTTACAGAATTTTTTTAATAGTTTGATAGTCTTTAACTGGCAAAGTAATTCTGACAAAGATTGCCCCACAATACCTAAATGCCCTAATTCCTTAAAGTAAGCATTAAAATAGAGTATCTAATATTTAAAGAAAATTAGCAAGCTACACCCTCAGATGTAGAAATCTTCATGGGTATTGCAGAGCTCTGATAGGAAAATAGTGCTCATAAACTCAAAATCTCTTAATTTACATAATATGGGGAAGATTTTTAACACATATATATTCATATATATTATGTATGTATATGTATGTGTATATATATATATATACATATATATGTGTGTGTATGTACACATACTAACCACTAAAAATATTTGTCAAGTTTTCTGAGGTTCTTACTGCAAAGTGCTATAAGCCAAGGGTCAGCTACTTTGTCTATAAATGATGGTATGGAAATATATTTAATTTATTTAATTTGGGTGTCAACTGGTGCAAGTCCTCAGGGCTGCAGCAATAGAATAAAAGAACCCACAGGTGATGAAGCATGTGTGTGCTGCATTCTATAACCTGTGTTCACCACAGCAGGCTACAGGCCATTTCCTGGGCTCCTAGTAGGCAATACCCATTTTAAAGTCCATTTTACAGAGGAGAGTATTTAACCCATTCGGTGTTGTACTCGCTTATGAGTCAAACTGGGAGCCTGCCACACAGAACTGATCTGCCCTTGTCCTCCCAGTTTTCAGTAATTCCTTTTTATTTACATTAACTCGTGTACCTACGAGAATGATAAAACCTGCCCGAATTTTAATGAATTTGTCATGTATTATATTTTACTTTTAAAAATAAGGTATCTATTTGAACGAAATTACCCATTTCTTTTTGAAAATTTCAAGATCATAGTAGAATCTGACTATGTAAATATGGTGAAAAGTTTCTGCCCTCAGACAGCTGGAAGCTCTTACTTGTCTCTGTTGAATCTGTGTCTCTGTTGAATCTGTACCTCTGCTGTTTTCGTCCTTTCTTGTCCACTTGTGCTCTCTTGCAAGTGACCCCTTCCCAGATAGCCAATTTCTGCTCTCTTGCCACAGCATGTTTGAAAATTATTTCTTTTATCTTTTGACATTCTAATTACAACCTTTCTACCTTTCTGTTACTCCCTCCAAACCCTCTCATATCTCCCTCCTTGCTCTCTTTAAAATTCATAGCCCCCCCCCACACACACACCTCTACCTTTGTCAGGCACCTTTATGGCCCCTCCATTCAGGCAGGCCCATCGTCTTCATACACAATCACAATCCAGACACACACGAACTCACATACACACACTCAAAGTGCTTCAAACCAAATTAGCCAAATCAATTATTTTAAAAAATCCTCTTATCAAATTTTTTGACATTGCTATTCCAACAAAATAAATTATAAGAGTAACACTAACCTTTTTTAATCCTAAAGATTATCTTAAAATAAATATGCACAACAGTGATAAAAATGAACACATTAATGTTTCTCCTTTAAGTTTCTAATAAACTTCCTGGGATGGAAAGACTAGCAGATTGACTTTGCCGTGCAGTCTCACTGGACGCTAAGCTCCTTGGTAACCTTGAGAACAGCATTCCTGAGCACTTTGCCCTGGGTACACAGATACACCCATTCAACTCCCACATACATAACATTTTACTTTGTGTGTGACCCATACAGCTAATAAGAGTCTGACCATGCAGTCAAGGTGAATGTTTTCGACCCTCACATTTCTGGACGCACTTGCTTTCCCTCTATAGTGGCAGACTATCACTTCGTAGACAGAACCAACTGGAGCACATTTTGGCTCAGTTGAGCTTAGACTGACACGGGATGAGAGTCTGTTCAATTCTCAGCATCACAGTGTGGACTAAAGCAGGAAGAGTTGTGACACACTTCCTTGGCGATGGTCCAGTAGCAACAGAGAATTGGTAGTTACTAACAATGTGTTAGTCATTTTTTTTAGCTTAGGAGAAACAAAGATATGTTTGCTTTCCAGGAAAGACCTATGGCCATTTTCCAAACCATGTATTACATCAGGGAAGGAGGACCACTTATTTTATGTAGGCCTCTCACCCATATCTCAGGGAGTCAGGAGAGCAGGGTAGAGAACAGCACTTCTCACTCCTAGACCTCATGGACTCTGGGTTGAAAATGGATAGACTTTTCTCCTAATACCAAGAAAAACCCCAGAAGCATCATAAAATGAGCCAAGCACCATTCCTGTTTCCTCTCCTCAAATGCTGTTCCCTTATTTTGTTTCTACATTTCTAATATCTTACTCAAAGTGAAGTGAAATCTCTTCAAATAAAGCGAAAAACAGAACCATCTACAACTGTGGTTTTCTCCCAAATAGAAGATAAATATTAGCATAAGGAATTTATAAATCCAAGCTCAATAAAATATAATAAAATAACAGGTCCTCTGGGGGTTGGAGGGATTGCTCATCTGTTAAGATTTTCAGAAGATCTGATGATCTCTTTGGGCCTCAGAGGGCATTGCATGTGTGTGGTGCAAACAAACATGTATGCAAAACATTCATGCACACAAGATAACAACACATGAATTTTTAATTTAAATACATGCTCCACTCACAGTGGTATCCTGCTTTCTTTCAACTCTACATTAAAATTAGTTTTATAGAGTAATGTATTTATTGTATATCTTCTCTCTTTATGACAAATTGTATATATTTCTTTGAAAAGAAATAAAACTTTAATGATTCAATGTTTTATAGACAACCCAAGAATAGAATCTATGATGTTTAATCTACAATGATGTACTTACTGTGTCTTTTCCTTTCATTATGCATTCTTCAACTTTTGCTGTGGGACTGGGCCAATATATCTGAAATTGAAGACAATTTATCATTATGGAAATTGTCTATAGAAGTACAGCTCACTAAACACCATTTTGTTTTCTTCTACAATCCAGTATACAATTTGCAATCCATTTTGTTCTACTTCCTGAGAAGATAATTTTTTTTTTTATAATTGAGAAACTTCTCTATAAACTTTCACTTGATGCTGTCTTTTCAGGAATCCCTAGTCTTCCTGGTGGTTTTGAACCTTTCACCTGCAGAGCCGGCCACTTTAGAACCTGTTCTTTTTCATATTTCACCTGCTGGCATCTCTGACTTTCAATTTGTTGGTGAACCAGACTACTCATGGTGTCAAGGCAAGCATCTCCTAGAATTCTTTGCGTTCCATTTTCCTTTTCACCACCAAGCACAGAAAAACAGTGTTCTGGACTCTTAGTAATGTGTGGGCCAAAGGTGATTATAAAAGCATGAAATACTCTTAAATGCATCACACAGTAACAAGTCACAGGCACACATTTGTGCCAGCCTAGGAGATCTTGTCTCAGTGCTGTTAAACAACAAAACTGTTTCACCCTTCCAGCTTCCACATGATTTCTAGAAGTTGTCATGATGTCTTGGGTTTGTTGGCTTATTTCTTAGAGTGAAAGATATATAAAACATTTTTCCCTTTTTGTCAGCAGTACTTATCACTTTGCTGAGACCAAAGCAAACAAGAAGTTTTTCACAATTTATATATTATTTTTAATGTTTTTTTAATCATTATCTTCCCCAGCCTCCCTTTTCTATTGTTGCATAGAATATAGAATCAATTCACATGGGCCTACCCATTACACTGATAACTATAATTTATTTTACCTTACATCGTAAGCCGGTGCACAGAGATTTCAGTTGGTTACACTATGCAAGCCATAGCTCATATCATCAGTGGCTTAAAAATGCCTTTCCTTGTAGCTAATTATTATACCTCTCTTTCTATCCTGGCCATCCTACTTACCACACAGGAAGTAATTGTTGTAACCTGTTACTGAATATATTTTTCCTACTTGTTTCTATTCTTTTAAAGTAGTTACTATTGCTTTTATGTACATACTTCTGATTTATATAATCATATCTCATCATCTATTTGTTTTAACTAAGTGTGTGTGTGTGTGTGTGTGTGTGTGTGTGTGTGTGTGTGTGTGTGTGCGCGCGCATGCGCCTTATGTCTTCTTGCAACTCCTCATGCTTCCTCTCTGTATTCTAAGTAGAATTCGCCTGCAAAAGTTTTGGAATACCAAACTAAAATTAGATATTGCTTTTCACTTGACATTGGCAAACATCAAGACTGAGAATTCCTATGTAAAAATCCAGTTTTGATGCTGTAAGAAAAATGAAAAGACTGAGTATATCTTGTGTGGCAGAGCTACTGCCAACTTAGTCTTCAGATTCACTTCCAGTGCTCGTTGACGATAGCTGGTTGGCTCTCTTACACCAATCATCCTTCTTTTGACATCTGATGTTTATCTTTGAATTCCAAGTTTATTTAAGATTTAAGTATTCTTTCAAAAGATGATGCTCCATAAGAAGCAGTTATAGTCCGGAATTAGAAGGGACTCATCATAGCAGTCATACATTACATAGCCTAATCCAGTCCTGAAACTGGAGTCACACCCAGAATTTGCAAAATGGTGGCAATGGCATTTCATTGTGTGATTAAGTTTTTTGTCATTTGAGCGACTGCACTGTGCTTTGAGATTTTGCTGGCTCTTGATCTCCCAAGAGTTTCTTGATGACAGTTATTCAGCAACAGGTGTTCCTTACATTTCCAAGTACATAATCTACTCCTTACAGGAAAGCACATGAGTTTTTCATGTTGGTATATAAGAAAAGGCAAAGAAAAAGTAGAACTAGAGGAGAAAACCCCATTTAAGTGAAAAAAAAAAGCATATGCATAAAATCTTAGAATTGTTCTTGGTTTTCACAACATACTCATCAGTGTATCATATGTAGTGAGTCAAGACATGACATAAAAGTGTCGATGGCATGGGGTCTGGATGTAAAGATGCATTATCTATTGTTGCAGAATATTATTTTAAGAAGTGTTGCATTAATTTATGCTGTGGAGTCTTTGCTTAATGATGCAAAGATATGCTAAATTCTTTTATATTGCATTAGTTTAACTCTGTGAAGTTGTGTTACATTGCCTGTCTAAATCACCTGATTGGTCTAATAAAGAACTGAATGGTCAATAGCTAGTAGGAGAGGGATATGCGGGGCCATCAGGCAGAGAGAATAAATAGAAGGTAAAAAGGACACTAGGAGCCAGCCAGCCAGCCACACAGACAGACATGAAGTAAGAAGTAAAGAAAGGAATATAGAATAGACAAAGGTAAAAGCCCAAAGGCAAAAGGTAGATGGAATAATTAAGAAAAATTGGCTAGAAGTAAGCCAAGCTAAGTCCTGGCATTTATACATAAGAATAAGTCTCAGTGTGTTTATTTGGAAGCTGGGTGGCAGGCCCCCAAAATGTGAAGAGTAAGAATAAGACCCAATTATAATTTATGATTTGAGTTAAGATATTTCATAAAAGTGTCAAGGATACATGTCCTGGAAGTGAAGCCGCAGTATTTATGATCTTTATCTCATCTAGTATGTAGATTTTAAAAAACTCATTCCCCTGAGAGATTTTTACAATCATTTGTAAAACTCTTTAGCCCTTTCTACCTAGTTGAGAATTATGACTTTACTGTGAAACTGTATTTATAACTTATTTAAATTTTTAATTCTTTTTTTTTTTTTTAATTATTCGAGATGGGGTTTCTATGCATTGGTTTGGAGCCTGTCTTGGAACTAGCTCTATAGATCAGGCTGGCCTCAAACTCACAGAGATTCACCTGCCTCTGCCCCCTGAGTGCTGGGATTAAAGGCACGTACCACCAAATGCATGGCTTAAATTCATTTCTTAAAGTAGAGTTATATGCATACATACATATTATTAGATGCATACATACATACATATTAGACAAAGTAAAACTCATCTCAGAATACCTGTAATTTCATGACTTCATTTATTAATATGAACAAATCAGAACACAGATCATCAATAGCAGGATAATTCTTTCTATTCCTTAACATATTTATAAGACATGGAATCTTCAAAAATTTAACACCCTTAGTCACTTTATCTTCGTTGTTATACAATGGTGGTTTCTTTAAATTATGTTCTGAGAACACAATACCACATAGTCTCTTATTGTTTCAAAGTGATTATTTCCAAACACACTCACTGTTTTGGCATCTCAAAGCATTTCTACTTATCTTGTGATGGCTTTTATTCCAGACTATCTTTCCGAATAGCTAGGAAAGGCACATATACAAATTTATTCAAAGTAAAAGGGAAAATTGTTCACTGATCAGGGAAATGAAGAGGAGGTCTTTCTGGACAGAGGTTAGACATTTTTGCTGACAGTCTCCCTTGCCTTCTAATGACAGAAGGTTTTCTGGGCTTGAGCTTCCTCAAAAGTAAATCATCCTCTGCCTAGCAGTGTCTGCTGAGGCTTCTGTGCATCTCCTCCTGCAGAACCTAACCTGAGATTCTTGCTGCCTGATGTTTAGAGTAACAAGATTCTTTGTCTCTGGCCCAGAAGGGTAATGCTTTCTGATGGAATCTAAGAAACCATACCAGCCAACTTGCCTTGAATATCATGGAAAACCTCAGGCACTTCAGAGTTTGTATCAAACAAAGTAGAGTGTATTATGTGGTGGTAGTGATAATAAATGCCCTTTCTAGAATTTTCTGAATATGTATTGGTCCTAGAACAAACCTAAGGAGGGCAATTAATCAGAAGATGACAAATCTAATCTTGCAAGCACAGTTTGCAATGTGATTCTCAAGAAAATCTTTCCAGATATCTTTTCCGATTTTGATCCCCTGTGGCATTCTTGTTTGTATAAACACTACAATGATTTATATATGTAATTTTAGCTCTCTTATTTGAATACAAGGAACAAAGCCTGTTAATGTCAGCTGAACCCATGTTTAGACAGTCCATTTATTCAGTGTCTGAAGATTGGCACTTTTATCACATTCTTTTTAATGACAGCCCAGCTAAAGAAATCATTGTGAACTCTAAGAGGTACAGTTCACAGACATGAAAATGCCCCCCCCCCAAAGTCAAATGAAAAGTAAAATTTTCCAGTTTTATCATGGTAGGAATACTGTAGCATACTGACAGTAGCCTAAGTGTTCAAAAACTCGTAGGATCCCTGTAATCAGACAGAAAGAAACTGATCAACCCATTCTAATTGGAAAGAGAATGATGAAATTGGCCTATAAATTCTACAGTAAAGTCTGATGTGTGGGGAAATTTTCCTCAAAATTGTATTGTTCTTGTTTTGTAAGGAGGGATTTTGTTTGTGTGTTTTAATAGGTTAACATGCTCAAGACTTTAGTAAAAAAGTTAACTAGGGTGACAAAATGACTTCCATAAAAATATAAAATTACATCTTTAAAGGCATCATGTGTAAATGCTCTCCCAGATTAGTAGGGAAAATCAATTTCTTCATTTGTTTTGGCAGTCAGGATGTCTTTTGATTCTGCTCCACAGTTTAGCATCCATAGGAGCCATAAAAGTAAGTTATTTGTTCTGCACAAACATTTTTAAAGGCAGTTAAACAACGGGGTGTAATGTTGTTTCCAAATTTTCTGTACTTAAAAAAGTACAAAAAGCAAAAGGTTAAATACACATCATTTTATCACAATCCTCCTGCTGCAAAATTCAGTCACCCCACTGCCCATTAACAGCCATTTACTGTTCTTGCATATCTCAAAGGAAATAAGATAAAACATAAACTGAATTACTGAGTCACTTTTCCTGGGCTCCCTATTGAGATTCATAATTATACCAGGATTAAGGATTTCACAACTTGCTGTTGTATGACATTCAGACTTTGTGGACCAGAAACAAATGAACAAAGGTGGGATAACTTCACCTTTAAAAAAAATGTCCTTTTTACATAAAAATAAATAAAACAAATCAGCTAGCAT